TAACGAAGAAATAAGGACAACAGAAAGAAACAAGGGAAAAAGGAAAGAATGTAAATAAATAAAGAATGAAGACTAGTTTTCGAAGTTCTTTTCCAGACAGCGACTCTGCCTCGCAATGTCGATGTGAAAGATCATTCAGGTCACGCGGTATGTCTTCGTGGCTGAATTTCGATATACATGGAAACTAATTTCGTACCTCCTGAGGCCCGTTAAAATTAAATAAGCAAGGAGATGGGACGGCGGCGCTAGGCGAAGCGTAAATAAGTTAGGCGCTGGAAGCACGTGAAACGGTTCCTGAAGGTGGAGGCTTTGCTTCATCTCAAGCGATTTTGCTTATTTCTGCGTCTTGGAGAAGACTCTTGAGCCGTTCACTTCACTTTGCCTGCGGGCGCGAAGGCTCGCTTTGCATTGCTGGGAAAAGTGACCGATTTCTCTGTCATAGTTCTCGTCAGATATTCCCGCCTCTAGTCGTAATCCAGAATTAGAGGCAGTGCACACAGACTTATTACACTTTAATATGTGTGGTAGGCCTGTATTATTACAGGTTGCCTTGTGGGAGAAGAAGTTCTCAGCCAAACAATTTATCTCAGGTTTTAGTACTGGATAGCATTTCAAGTCGTGCGTGTTATCAGTTTCCTAGAAATGTTACGTCACCCACACGCCAAGTTGTTTGCTCACATCTATAAATCCGGCTGTCGTACCATCTCATTCCCATTAAGGTGGCGACTGACTTGTAACATTTACTTGTAATGTAACATTCGCGGCGAGCATGTTACATTACACCACAACTGGTGAGGCGTATCGAATGCTCGTTTTGAAAGCTCGGCTCGACTGTGCTCATGTGTGCTCGATTCATTTCATTCAATATGTCGGACGTGGAGGTTGTGTTATCTTTGTTTCATTTAATACGCTACTCTTATCTAAAGAACTCGTGAATGCTCGTTACGACGCCACTCGACTGACTGACTGACTGACTGACTGACTGACTGACTGACTGACTGACTGACTGACTGACTGACTGACTGACTGACTGACTGACTGACTGACTGACTGACTGACTGACTGACTGACTGACTGACTGACTGACTGACTGACTGACTGACTGACTGACTGACTGACTGACTGACTGACTGACTGACTGACTGACTGACTGACTGACTGACTGACTGACTGACTGACTGACTGACTGACTGACTGACTGACTGACTGACTGACTGACTGACTGACTGACTGACTTGTAATGTAACACTCAAAGGGATTCGCGAAAA